TAGGAACAAAAATATCTTGACATCTTGTACGAAAGATCTTGCCAAGATCTTTTCGAAAAAATCTAAGATGTCAAGATCTTGGTTCCAAGATGTTCGACTAGGGATGCTTGATGTATCACATAATGAATGTTCAACCCACGCACTTTTTCATATGTGCTTTTTCTCCATTATCTTTGTAGTAACGATATAAACCTGAGGTTTCCTAGTCATGTAGTAAAGCCGTCTTATGTATTCAATGTACTTTCATCATTTCTAACAGTGATATAATGGCTATAGTCGCTTCTACGTTAGAATAATAACGATTTTTGTTTACGAAAGGCGAGGAAATGCTAATTAAAATCGGTATATTCTATGAACTCAAGAACTCGAATCCGAAGCCAAAAAAGCGGATTGAACCGCTACTTATTATAGTCAGTTATTATTATCAGTATAGATTCAAAACCAATTGTATCTTAAAAATACATTTCATTTGCGTCAGGATATTCTTTCGATAACATTCTTCTAAAATCCATTGAAAGAATAACGAAGAAAAGTAAGTCACATTTTGAAACTTGCGAACTGGTCTCAAGTATAGACTAACAAACGCTAGAAATTTGACTTTCAAACTGAAATTTGTTTCTGATTTATTTATACATGGTTGTACAGAGCACGTTGAGGTAATTCACCCTTACCCTCGCCCACACCGTAAGTAGGAAAAAGCGGCTTTTAGTTTTTCCAAATGTTTTTAAGGAAGAAAAATTGAAAAAAGTTGAAAGATCTAAAATTCTAACTTTCTGAAAGCTAGCCGTCAGATGCAGTATTAAAAACCGAATGTCAAAATATTGTTTGATCGAGATTGAAATCAAACGACTATCCAATATGAACATCTTGAAACTCTCTTATAAAAGATTCGTAAACAATTTTGCAAGTCTACCCTTTGTGAAGAGATGCGGCCAATGGCGTCGTTTCATTAGAATCGTCAGTAAACGATCTTTAAAGTATTCATCACTTTCTTTAAAAGTTTGTTTCATTACTGACAAAATTCATTTTTTCTTAACTAGGAATGAAACAGTTTTTTGCTGATTTTCGAATTTTGGTGAAAATCTGACATGAGCAAATAGAATGGAAATGCATGTGCAGATCCAGTTCCGGAGTCTTTCGTGTCTTCTTTCTTCCAATCAGTGATTGTCACTTGTTTCTCACTCACGTTGATTTCGATGATTGCGAGCAACCATCGAAATCAATGCGATTGGAAACACACGTCGCTCTACTTCGGTTTTAACAGTGGTAATAAAACGAGAGTTATTAGACAAAAGAATAGATGGTATGTGAGATAAGTTATAAAATCAATCTAATGGTGTATCTGTAATAATTGTTGCACCTTGAGATTTGAACCAAATTTTTTCTTCTGTTGTATTGGCACACCACACTGCTATGACAATATTATTCGATCGATATTTTTTGAAAACATTTCCAGATACGCCGTCTTTCTGTATTAAAATAATATTAGCACCGATAAAGCTTAGTCCTAATGGTGTTGCGAATAATTGATAAATATTATCTAATAGTAGTTTAAAAAACATATTGTATTTCACAAACATTGGCAACGGTTTTCCAAGATCATCTGTGACTTGTATTAAACCGTCAGTTGTGTGTTCAAGATATACAAGACCGGTTATTATTTTTGGATTTAATAATATCAAATAATAGAGATTTATGGGTAAAAATGATGAACAACAACTGCGTTCATATAAAAATGGGTATTGACGATAGAATTTATCAATAACTGATACCATTAATTTGAAATGTTTTACTTCTTTTATTTCAATTACGATCTTTAATTTTGTTCTTTGAAGAAATTGAATTACTTTTTCTAGAGTAAGAATATGTTCAGTTTTATACAAGTCATTTGTTTTCACATCAGTTCTGACTCTTTTGCGTTTAAATAAGAATTCTTTTAGTTCAGCACATGTATAATCTGATACTTTTCCATGACAATTATCGAACGTTTGATGTAACCATGTATCATGAATAATCATTGGTATATGGTCGCTTGATAACTGAGTATTAAGCTCAATACCATCTATTAATGAGCTCATCGAAGCCCATTTGAACGCAGCAAGCCACTTCTCAGGAAAATCATTATTGTCATCTGGTAGTAAGGGTTGGCCACCTCGATGTGCAATAGTTAAATTTCCAAATACTTGATGACCTTCAGCTGATGGTAGTTTGTAAAAATTATAAAGAAACTATAAAATAGCTACGATGACCGTGATAATAAACAAAAATGAAATTGGTCTAATGAACAGGATTACTGGTAAGCATATGATGATAAATGTAACTCCATTTAAAAAAAAGTAAACTAGCCTAAAGAGCAGTTCGTTTAACATCATCTTTTCTGATCCTTCTAGAAGTAGGAAAACAATTATAATAAAGGTTCTTGTCAATTAAAAAGCTTATTCTAACAAACCAGCCGAAGTTTAATCGGGAAAGCTTTAAAAGTACTACCATTTAATAGTTTAGAAGTTCACACATCGGAACATTTGTGAGTTGCATAGAATCCCTTGTTTGTATCTGTATATCAGAAAACGTTTAATTTTTTTTAAAGATATAATAAACTCTGTTTCGTTCGACTCAGAAGTAGAAGAAAAACGTTGCGGTAGTAAAACATTGTTTTGTAATGAGTTTTAATAAAACAGATCCTACCAGAGCGACAAAGTTTGCTGATAGTTTATAAATAAATAACTTACGTAAAATGTGCTCAATAGAGGCGACTTTAAAAGTTAAGAAGTAAAATGCTTTTTTTGCTGATTAGGCTCTAAATTAGTGGTGCTATCTCAGGATATTGAGCTGATTTAATGTTCAAATGCAGCGTTGTCTTAATTCACTTATAATATATTTAAACAGACTTCCTTTCTCTGGTCCATTATGTAGCTCGTGATCAAAACCTGCATTCCGATAACCTTGCTTCTTTGAAATCTAGATTGTATGAAAAACTATGCTCGAATATACAGAATCTTTGTGACAGCGTAAAATAAAAACAAAAAGTAAGCCAATATAGATATACATTTTATTATGAAATCACATTAATCCAAGGAGGAAAGAGCGTTTTTGGAATAGTATCAAATGGCCTGGAATGGCCCATTCCATACCATTCCAAAAACGCTTTTTCCCTCATGGCACAAACACATTGTTTCTCAAAATACACAATCGATAGTACATAAGTCTGTCAAAAATGAATAATGGAAAAAATTATCATGATTTGGAATGGTATGGAATGGGCTTTAATGGCCCATTCCACTTTTCCTCCCTTGCATTAATCTCTAATATTTAACTGATTAAATGCTAAATAAAAGATTTAGTTTCCGATTATGGTGCCCCTAACTCCGCACTCTTGAGCAGGGTTCGACTCTTTGTGGAATATTCCAATAAGAGTAGTAAGAACTGCATGACTCTTACTTGTGAACGACATGAGACATATTGCCATAAATGAGCGGTAACATTAAAATGATGTTCTCGCTAGTGAGGCTTTCGTAAAGTTGTCAAATTTTTACAGCGGTAATTTCAAACCCATAAAAAATTTAAAACTTTTACAGCAGTAACCTTCTATAAAAGAAATTTTCACCGTTACCGTTAGTAATGTACCATCACCACTCATCCGCACATATCATTTTTTTGATCTCGTTTATAGAGCTTAATGTTTCAATAACTTAGAAAGATTTCATTGTCTAATTAACAACAATTCAGTTTAGAACGCTTAGGGAGAGAACAAATAAAGCAAATCAATTTCGTTTCATAATAAACATCATAAACATCTGCACAAACATCATCTGATATTCGTGTTATATCGTTCTGGTTAACTACAGAACGAGCTAAACAACCACTTCTATTTAACATAATGAAAAGAGAAATCTATCAATAGTCATGATTCAGTTTTTCTTTAAAATGGTTTGTGTACAATACCGCAAATAATAAAAAAGCATTCTAAATTTAATTAAACTTTTTTCCATCACATACTTGCTGCAGTGCACTCGAAATTTTAAACATAAAAGCATGTCCAAGAATTTGAAAGCTGTTTATTTTTTATTTATTCAAGCCTTTAAATAAGAGAAAAATCTTGATACAAAGACAATGTAGCTGTTTACACGTAAACAGAACGATATAACACGAATATCAGATGATGTTTGAGCAGAATAACTGGAATGTGAAGTGGCCTAGAGACGCTTTTTTCTGAATAACAATCAACACAGTTGCCATAGCAAATTTGACGCTCTGTTGTTTTCTGTTCAAAAGCGATGAGATGTTAAAACACAATTAATACGATACTAAAGTTTTATTTTCTTATTATGAAACGAAGTTGATTTGCTTTATTTTTTCTCTCTCTAAGCGTTCTAAATTGAATTGTTGTTAATTAGACAATGAAATCTTTCCAAGTTATAGAAACATTAAGCTTTATAAACGAGATCAAAAAATTTAGGTACTATAGAGTAAACGGTTTTTAGCATGTAAAACCAACATCCGGAAGAATTTAAAATACAAAATTGTGCGAAAAACAAGATCCAATCCATAGCAGAAGAGAAATCTTCTCATAGTTCTTGACGACGTTGGTAATTATCCTAAGATATTTCAACAGGAAAAACCAAGGCTCAGACGAGAAAGTGAGGATGAAGTGCATGTCAACAGTTCCTTGCTGAACACTTCCCAAAGACAAAATTCTTTTCGAGAAATAGTTTGTTAAGGTTTCTGTTATTTCTATAGATTCGAATGTTGCCATAGTCTCTAACTCTTTTGGCTCATTTTGAACTTGAAGTTCTGATAGTTTGCGAAAGTTTTCATCGGTCGTTGCGACAATCATCGAAATCAACACGAATGAGAAACAAGTGACAATCACTGATTCTCACATTCTGAAGAAAGAAGACACGAAAGATCCCGGAACTGGATCTGCTAAATGATGTGCTGCGCGTGTTTGATCTATTCTATTCGATTCAATCACATCTAGGCCGACTTTCAGCACGCACGGTGGCATCGGTCAGTACGCTTTCATGTGAAGTGTACCACCGGATGAACAGATCGAACAAGGTTCATTCACGCGTTAAGAACAACCAACAGTTGTTCGTTTCCTTCGGTGGTCGCGGTGTTTTTTCCGATTGACCTTACAAGACAGCGCGGAAGACGAACAATCGTTAGATTCATGTCGACGAAAATCTATTGAAAATTCAATCCGAAGTCGCAAAGAAGCTGTCGGTCTAAAAAGTACCGAAGAATTTTTTATCTGATATCGGAGTTTTCGATAAGACACCGTTGAAACACAAAGTTACTTTCATAGGAGCTGAGCAGGATAATACTTGATGAGTATTATCAGTAATTGTTGCTAATAATCGTTTTCAAACATTTATATCACGACGAAAGGATAAAAGGACACTAAATAGAGCGAAGTGTAGTAATGACGATGATGGTAATGGTTTGGATTTGTTTTACACACGTAATTGTTTCATTACACTATAGAGTTTTAACAATAATAGTGTACGCTCTCTGTGTCTAACACTGTTTTGTGATTGTAATTGTTGATCATCATTAATTTCTTCTTCTGCTGCTTCTGGTGTTGTTGATAATTGTGTACCATTATTAATCGTTTCACTTAATACAGCACACTCATGTGTTTTTCGAAATCTTTCACGTTGTTGTTCTACCTCATAATCTAACCATGATCCATTTTCTGATGGCCATCGTAAGTCTTCATATTCTGTTACCTCTGGTGTAATTGTCATTGTTGTGGTGGCGTTGTTGATGAAATGAATGTGAGTGAATGCTTGTTACTTTTGCTGGTTCACTTTCATGTTGGCGTTTGTTCGCCAATGAGCATTTTGCTTGTGTTTTGTCACAAAATTTCTCCCATGAATCGATTTT